GTCTTCTAATGATTCCTAGTAAATCCTAATAGGTTAGGGAAAGTGGTCCATTAGCTGCTGTGTCTTCCATCTGCCAAATCCTTTCCCACAATCCTTGGTAAATTCCCCAAATCTGCCTTTTTTTTTCTTTTTTTTTCTTTTTGGTGTGTGTGTGTGAGAGAGAGAGAGAGAGAGAGACAGAGGAAGAGAGAGACAGAGCCTTGCTCTATCACACAGGCAGGAGTGCAGTGGCAGAGTCATGGTTCACTGCAGCCTCGACCTCTCGAGCTCAAGCATGTTCATCCTATCTCTGCCTCCCAAGTAGCTAGGACTACAGGCACACGCCACCAAACCCAGCTAATTTTTGCATTTTTGTTTGTTTGTTTGATTTTGGTTTTCATTTGGTTTGGTTTGGTTTTTTGAGACGGAGTATCACTCTGTCGCCCAGGCTGGAGTTCAGTGGCACGATCTCAGCTCACTGCAACCTCCACCTCTCGGGTTCAAGCGATTCCTCCTGCCTCAGCCTCCTGAGCAGCTGGGACTACATATACGTGCCACCACGCCAAGCTAATTTTTGTGTTTTTAGTAGAGACGGAGTTTCACCATATTGGCCAGGCTGGTCTTGAACTTCTGACCTCATGATCCACCCGCCTTGGCCTCCCAAAGTGCTGGGATTACAGGTGTGAGCCAACGTGTCTGGCCAATTTTTGCATTTTTTAGTAAAGACAGGGTTTCCCCATGTTGCCCAGGCTGGTCTCAAACTCCTGGGCTCAAGCGATCTGTCTGCCTTGGCCTCCCAAAGTCCAGGGATTACAGGCGTAAGCTACCACACCCAGCCTCTGGCTTTTTTCTAGCCACAATCAACTTTTATTCAATTAACTAAGTCTCCAAAACTTCCCATGCTCCCACGAGGAAGTGAGTAGAGGTATAAATGAAACAAGATTGGCTATGTTAATAATTTTTGAATCTGAGGGATGAGTATGTGAGGGTTTATTACACTCTTCATTAGCTGTAGATATACTTTTATGTATATTTGAAATTGTCCTTAATAAATATTTTACAATAAAAAGTCTATCAATCATCTCAGTCAAGTGCAGTGTTTTAAATAATAAATTCTGAAAAAAAATCTTCAAAAAAATACTATAGCATCATAGCTATTTTAAATTCTGTCCCTAGGCAATATAACAGAGCCGTTTCTTGCCCCTTACTGCAGGTAATTCAGATGATGCACTCTTTCCTCACCTCCTCTCTGCTCTTCTCTTGCACTTATAAAACATAATCAGTCGTTTAGACTGGAGTGTGGTGGATTCTTGGTTCTATGATTCTCAATAGTGTATACATCTCTTCTGGCTAGGAAAGGCAACCCCTAAAGGAATGGCTTTGCCAACTTACAAATTAGTTGGGAAGCTCATTTGTGGGCAAATCCTTTGCACATCCAATGTAGTAGATGCTGTTGGTGCCCTCCTCCGATCCCCTTCACCAGCTAGGACACCAGCCTCTCGCTGCAGAGAAGGTTGGCCAGGGCCGTGCTGATAAACGTTTAACATCTGGCTGCCTGCAGGAGTGTAAGGCCTGGGATTTGTAGCTTTTGTTGATTTTCATGATGTAATGCTTCCATCATGGCCGATTGCAAGCTGTCAGGGTGAAGTCACAGAACGGGCATTTGGGAAGTGCTGTGCAGTCAGCACTTGTGAGCTGTGGTTGAGCTGACTCCAGCACACCATGGCTACATACAGCTTGTAACTGTTCCTTTCTCTGGGGAATTGCCTCCTGACTGAAGACTGTTGCCTTTCAAGCTTCACCCATGGATATCCGTAAATGATGACCAACTGATATGGGTGTACAAAATTCCAGCCCCCGTGCCTCGAGGTGGGTCAATTCTGTGGTATGAATTATTCATCAGAACCCACCCACACACACACAATGAATCAGATCACTTTCCTTGAGAGGACATCATTGTACAGCTCTTTGCCCTTTCCTCTCCTGCTTCTCTCACTTATTAGCAGGTTTTTCCCCCTAAAGAATATGCCATGCCCTTAGGGAATTGCATGCAGCTGAATGCTTGCCTCAGGCACTGCTTCAAGGGAACCCAGCCTGAGATACATTCAAAACGTACCCCAAGGGGCAAGCTTTCCTAAAACTTCCCTCCAATACACTCCAAATAATACAAAGAGATAATTCTAATCTTAGGAGATACAAAAGTACAACCCAAAGCATCCAACTACAGACCCCACATTTTTAAAGTCTTTTTTCACAGTAAAAATGCATGCAAAATTTTAACCTATGTTCCATAATATCCCTGTTTAACACTAGAAATGTCATATTTTTTCTCCAGAATTCTTGTGTAGAGTCCATGTTCCAAGATGCTAGATTGTATACATCCCATGGCTGTTCCAACTATGAAGGTAAACATGCCCAAGTCAGAAAAGCCTGAATAAACTTGAAAGCCACTCAAAGCCTGGCTGCTCAGCTTTCAACTCGCAATGAGCAGTGTGCATTGCCAATCCTCAGAGGCTGTCTCTTCAGCACTAGAAGGTCAGAGCAGACCTACTCCAAACACAGTATTACTGTATCCCAGTTTCTCCTTTAGTTTCATCAGGAAGGAAGGAAGGGAGGGAGAGTAAAAAAAGAAAGGAATTCTACCACCAAGAGTTAGACTTCAAAATGATCTTCATGTATTCTTTCGTGTCTTCCTTTTACAGATGGGAAAACTAAGATCTGAAGCACAAAGTAATTTACTGAAGGTCACAAAAGCAGTTAATGCTGGAACCAAGATCCCCACATCTCTGGATTTTCAGGCAGGTTTCTCTCCTTGCCCATGTTGCCTGCCCAGCTTCTGAGGACAACCTTGATTGTCCTGTGAACTGGGGTCACTCAGTCAAATGCCTCTGCTGATACCCCAAGGTTGAATGGCAGTGTATTTAGCATGGCAGCTTTCAGACTCCAAGTGTTTCTGAGTGTGTGTTAGAAACCACTACTTCATCCAAAACTGGCCAAAGTGGAGAATTGTTTTGTACTTCCCAGCTGTATTTCCTTGACAATAGATGGTCTGAGAATGCCCTCTGGTGCCTTCCTACTGTGTCTTCAAGCACTTTAGAGGCAGGAGGTGGCTGTGGGAAAGGATGAAGAAAAGCTAGGCTCCTGGAAATGGTTTTTTCTCTCAAAAAAATGTGGTGTGGGTGTACTGTCAGCACACTGTGGCAGGATTCGACCAGGAAGTTGGATAAAAACATACTGTGCGGTTACGCCTCCTCTGTTGCATTTGCCTTTTTTTCTCTAACGATGAATATAATTCTTTTTAATTGCACAATTATTTAAATACTTATTCAACTCATATTAATACAAGACATAGAAACAATAACAAATTGGTAGGCATAAAAATCTCTGACACGATTTTAATTTAGGCGTATCCTTTTCTGGTTTTCTGCATAATGTGATTACCATTTCTCAAGAACATGAGCAAAAGCACACTCTCTGGGTCCCCAGAATGGAGTGCACCTTCTCAAGTACACTGCCGCGTTAGTTTTAATTACATGTATTTGAGAAAAAGAAGATTGACACTTCTTCCCCAAGATGCACCCCTCAAGAAGTTGAAAGGAGCACTGACTAGAACAAAGGGAAAAAAAGCAATTAAAGGCTCTCTAGGGCTATGACCTAGATACATTTGTCCCTTTTAATCCTTACATTGATCAGAAATATGAAATATAAGATTTGGGAAGGAGAGTGTCTATTTTAGCCCTCCCTCACATCAGGACTGGTCATGGCAATACCTGTCATTTATTGACTATTAACTCAATGCCAGGTAATATAAGTATTTCACATGAATTATTTCATTTAAATCCTCACAACCACCTCAGGAGAAAGGTGCTATTGTTTTCTGCATTGTATAGATGAGAAACTTGAGTCATGGAGATATTAAATGCATTGCCCAAGGTCACTCAGCCACTAGGAAGGCCAGAGCTCAAGCATCAATCTGCTCGGCTCCCAAGCCCATGCTTTTAGCCCTCCGGATATATGACGTCCACAACTTTCCTAAATAGCCTTCTTGTTCCCTCTCCTTAAATTCATCCAACAACGAGCAAATCATTCTATTATCTAACAGCTCTCATTGCTTAAATCACTCCTGTTACCCCATATTTGGTACCGGAGTGATGCAGCAGTTTGCTCCCTGTTCTACTTGACCTTCCTTTAAATATTTGAAACCAGATATCAGGTCACTAGTCCACTTTCCCAGTTTGTTCTTCTCTAACTAAAATGTCCCAAGGTCCTCTAAGTGTTCCTTGATTAAGTCGCTTTCCAGGCCTTTCACTACCCAGGTTCACTCCAGCTGTGTAGCAGCTCTCCCCACAAAATGGAAATGCGATAGCTAGCAGTGAACAACACCCTAAATGTAGTCTGACTATAGCAGGGCAGAGTGGGACTACTGCCTCCTTATTACCGAAATCATTTCTAATTAAAAGGCATCTTTAATTCTTACAGCAGTTGTATCACATTGGTCATTCGTGTGGTGACCACAGCCACCAAAAAACCCTTGGCCTTTCTCCCACGGAAAGTAAGATCTTCCCCTAGCACAAATGCACACTAAAGTTCTGAACTAAAATGAAGGATTTATTTAATTTAAATTTCATATTCTTATTTGTTCTGAATTCTTAATTTTTCCCCACTATTGAGATCATCCAAACCTCAGGTCAAGATGGCCAAAAAGGTGAGGTCCACAGACAGCCCTGAAGCCTCCCTCCCAAGTGGCACCCACTGGAATTCAGTGCCCTTCACATATCCCTGTCCAACTGGCCACAAAGCCTCCTAGCTTCACTGTCACCCTGCTCGTATACCTTCATCTTTCCCACAAGGACGTCATAAGAGGCTCTATCAAACGTCTTCCTGAAATCCAGACACATTTTGTCTGTGGAATTTCCCCTCCCCACCAGTCTCCCCACTCTATCAAAAAAGGAAGCAAAGTTCATTGGGCATATCTTGTTTTTAAGCAAACCCACATTTAGCAAATCCATATTTATACATACCACCAGGCTCAACAGGATGTTTATTTCAGAAAATGAACGTTCTTCCAAGAAACCTAATTTTAAATAGAATAGAGAAATAACATTTTAGCTACATTTTTTCACTTGTAAAAGCACTTGAAAAAACATATATTTTCAGGTCCATCAATACCACCATGGGGCTCAGCATTTATCATAGTATTTAAGTGACAGACGCCACTTAAATACTATATTTCCAAAATATAATTAAACTTTGACCACAACTGCATTAATCAGGATTGGAACTTTACCTGCATCATATTTTAACCAGAGAAGTAAATCTCACCAAGGCAATTTGATATCTGGATTGAGTTCTGTATTCAGAATACATTAAATTCCACCTTCTAAAACTTTCTGGACAATGACCAGAATGTCTACCATTCCAGACAATGAAAATTGAGCTGCCATTGAAAGACTTCGATATCACAGATAAAGATCCCATTGCATAAGCATACCATACACACTAAAACCAAAAAGTAAAAAAATAAAAAAATAGATGAGGACATTTTTTAAAGATATTATTTATTGAAAGTAGTGTAACATTTATTGAGAATATGTCAGGATGTTCTGAGAGTTTAACAAACGTGAACTCAATCCCTGAAACAACCCTTAATGATAGTCACTTTTATTTTCTTCATTTTTAACAGAAGGGAAGATGAAGGCACAATCAGGTTAAATGACTTGCTCAAAGACACACAGCTAGGAAGTGGCATGGAGCCTCAACAGTGAAAATTAAAAGTGTTATGCTTAAAACTTGAACAAAAAAATTCATAGAGACTTTCCATTCTGCCGTTGGACATTCTCAAAAAATGTCTTAAATACTTTTACTTTTCTCCTCACTTCAGTTGGCAGTGCTATATGTTTCCTCATGAAAGAATAAGTTTAACAGGTAAGAGAATAAGATAAATACATTCTGCAGTGTCAAAGGTCACACATGGCTGGCTTGAGTTTACCATTCTTGGGTCCTTGAGTTCAATTCACTAACTTCAATTCTGATCCTTGTGGTAGCTCCAATGTCTACTATTCTGCTGGGCTGGCCCTTCGTAGGTACTAAATAAATCTTTATTGAATTCAATGAAGTGAATTTGTTACTGAGGCATTTCAGGCTGCACCATATAAAGATATTAATAATATCCCTAACATTTACCTCAAAATACTTTCCAAGTCTTGTTAGCTTACCCACTCGTTTACAAAAGACAGACTCACATTTCTATGCGTAGGATTTAGGATACTTCGCTCCATGAATTACATTATACTTTTCAGAATTGTGAGAGTTAACAGTCACAAACCCCAATAGAATATTCTAACGTGGCCATATTTTACACAAATTCGGAATAGTGTAATATGAAAAATTCATATAGTCTCTTCACACTCAAAATGTGAAGTAATATAAGTGCCTCAAATTTAAATTCTTTCTGAGGATCAAAGAATTTTAAGGCTAGCAGGCCAAATGAACTGTAAAACTGAATTCAGGATATGGTCTGAATTATGCAAGTTTGGAATTACACAGTCTTGAAGGCCACATCCTTTTCATAAATGCCACCAACCCCAACACATCACCAAGGGACAACACAAAGGAAGCACTGCTGTATAACAACTTGGTGGCTGAAGTCTTGGAGGCCAAACAGGCTCAGAAGCTCCAAGCCAAAGCAGCTGTCCTCAGCCTCTCAAAAATCTATGCAATTACAGAGAAAAATGCTGAGACACACAACAGGAAGATGAAAATTAAACTCAAGAGACCCATGACCAAATTGCACCCACGCGTCTAAATGTTGGTGGTGCTAGCCCTGAAACAGCGGGCTCCCGGGACTCAGAGAACGAATTATCCATCTCCCCTCTCAAACTCTCTAGCCCTTATAGAACCATAGGCTCTCAGACCTCACCTGGATGAGAAACCACAGCTCTCTCAAAGCCTCATCATTTCAGCGTAAGAGATGCTGACAGATAAACAAATTACCAAATGACAAAGTGAGTTTAGCCTTTGTGCACTGGAAGCAATGGCTGGAAATGTTCATGACCAATTCCACAAAGACAGGCAAACATTCACACTCAGAGAGAGAAAGAGAGACAGAGAGAGAGAGAGAGAGAGAGAGAAAAAAGGGATAGAGAGAGAGTGAGACAGAGAGAGAATGAGTAACAGTCTACGGTTTCCCTTCCTCCACTGTATGCCCAGTGAAATTGTCCCTGGTATTTAAGAAAGCAAGGACAGAATGAAAACCTAGGAAAAAAAAGGAATTGAGGTTAAGACCAGAGTGACAATGAAAGAAATGAAGGTGGAAGTCTTTTACAAGCACTTGTGAATCTGAAGCAAGAAGTAGCTTCTTTTCTTGGGTTTTATCCTTCCAGTGGCCTTCCTAATAGGCAAAAGCTAAAGTCAGTCACTTTCGGTGCCTGTATCAACCTTGTAAGACACACTAAATTCTCTCTGTAATGCATAACTGTCAGCCTCTCTCACTCATCTGGAGTGATTTTTCCAATTAAGCATGACAGACATTTCACTCAAGCCCCCTATTCTAACTCAGAGGCCAGGTCCTGAAGAATGAGACTTCAGTGGCTGCTGACACTTCTTTTGTCACACAAGCCTCTCTAGACAAACAATATTGACTACAAATTTGTCAGGACTTTCTATGGCCATCAATCATGCCTGCCCTTTTGCCTACTTGTGCGCTCCTGTATTTCCCCCCACTCCCATGCTTAAAACAAGACAAAATTAAACTCAAAAGTGTAACCCTCAAAGTTAGAATCAGCATAAATCCTGGAGTATCTGGAATGTGAATATTCATCTGGCACAACTAATGTACTCCTTACTCTAGAAATTAAAAGCTTGAAAATGATGTACTGCCTCAGAGAAATGTGCACCAGAGTTTCATGTCAGAATGCTTTGGTATTTGGTGTTTGTCTTTTTGTGTTTGTGTGTGTGTGTGTGTGTGTGTGTGTGTGTGTTTTCATTCTTACATGAGTTCTCATAAAGTATAGGCAGATAAAGGTCTGACTCACAGGTCTCAAACTCCAATGCCTTCAAGGCTAATAGAGCAGAGACGGGGCAGAGTTAAAAGCATTTGCTGCTGTAGACATCATTATGTATTATCAAGAAATAGTGTGCAGACTGTCCTTTTCTTTTGGCAGAAGCCGAGGCCCTGAGTCCTGCCTGTATGAATGACATGTAAGCTGTGGGCCTGTGATTTTTTCTGTTCTTTCTTCTTCAGTCTGGCTTCATCTCAAGAAGAAAAAAAAAAAAAAAAGTACACATCTCCCCATGCGAGAGAAAGGATGACTTACATTACTGAGAGTGTGTGTGTGTGTGTGTTGCCCTGAAGCAATGCCAGCATCCAGAACTGCAACCTTACCTTTTTAATCCTTAAGAACCAGAGACATAGTTGCTCCTGCTCAGCAAAGTCTACAGCCATTTCCAAGAGCTCCATGACAACTTGCATGAGGACCAGGCCACCACCATGGTGAGCTCCAAGGTGGGCTGGTCCACGTCTTGTGATCAAAATGACTGATGCTAGCACCAGAGTGTCCATCATGATAGTTTCTTCTTTTGCTTCTTGAATGAGAAGGAATGGGGATTTTTCAATTAAAGGTTAAAGTATCTTCTTTCTTCAAAGTCTTATTAGCCAACTTGTCAATTGTCTTTCAGCTCAGAGGACAGAAATTCATGGAAATAGGATGCAGGCATCCCTTTTATTTGTCTTCTCCTGCACCTCTGCTACTTGCAGGCACATCCTCAAATGATGAAATATCAACTGCTTCCCAGCATCTTTGGGAGGTGCGTATACTTTTACAATGCTGTGTTTGCAAGCTCATTATAATAAAAGCGAAATTCAAAGTTCATAATAACAGAAGTGAAATTCAAAATAAGTACATGTAAAGCAGAATTTTCAGAGCCCCTCTAGTTAACACAGTCATTAATTTGCCTTTCTTCTTTTTCTTGATTTATGAAACTACTAGTTGCAAACTGATGTCGATTCAGAGCAGGAGCCAGGGTGGACAATGGATCTCAGCATCTGACCCTTTTGGAGCAGCTGTCTGAACCACAAGGAAAAATGATCAGGCCTGAAGCCAGTGGGAGAATCATCAAAACAGACAATACAACCCATTTGTTTAATGAAGAAAGAGTTAGGCAACCTACTAGAAACCACAGGCCTGATCCACATTTTTTAAACTTATGACCATGTCTAGAAAAGTTGCTTAACTCTTCTGCGCTCCATTCTTCCAATGCTCAGAGCTCCATGAGACTCATCCAGAGCTCCCATGTGACTCGATGCCTGCCCCACCTCTCCACACCTGCACAACTATCAAAATAACCAGCAAGGAAAGCTTTCTTTAAAAAATGAAGATTCCTTGCCTTTACCCTAGGCATCATCCAGGCCTATGAAATGGGAAATCTGCCTGATGGGGCATTTTTACCAGGAGAATCTAAATGAGCAACTGAATTTAGAAATCACTAGGCTGGAGCAGAAAGAGCAAATGCACAATCCAAGAACCACTTCTCCTACCCCTTTGTCCATGACAGACATTAATAATCAACACCAGCACTCTTTCCCACAGAACCCAGCCAAAGCTCAGGATCCTTCTCCAGATGGAGGTCCAGGCAGCCACTCCCAGTCAATGAGAGCTGGCTCACAAATTGAAACCTTTCTGCCATCCCTGAGTGAGAACCCAGCAGTCCACCAGTATTGTGTGTTCAGTTGCACCTTTCACCCAGCATCTAGAACAGCTCATCATATAATCCTTTCAGGTTCACAAAATCTTTTCAAACACCTGATCTTCTTTAAGCCTCCCAGAAACCTTGTGAAGTTAAAAGGGTATGTGTTATTATACCCATTTTACAGATTGAGAAACTGGGGGTCACGGAAGTTCTTAGTCTTGCCCAGGGTCAGAGAGTTGATGAAGAATAAGGACAGAAAATTCACCCAGATCTCCTGTTCCTAGACCAGCATTCTTCCTTCTGTAACAAGCTGGGCATGGAGTATTGAGGGCAACATCACCACCTGAGCTTAGCAAAAAACAGACCATACAGTAAACAGTACAGAAGAGGAAAGTGGGCCAGAGAGGTTTAGTAAATTGACCAAGGTCACAAAGCCTTAAAAGCAGCAAGCAAGAACCCCAAGCAGGTCTGTCTGACTCTCCATCTGTGCTCTTCCTGTTTAGATGGTGCGTCCTCCCAGATCAGCACACACTAGGAAAGGGCCTTTCCTCTCCTCTCCCTGAGTTCACTCTCACACACCCTGCGCGTCTGGCCCTCCTCCCAGCCTATTTCCCTTGTTTCCGCTGGTGTCATCCTCTCAGCCACACTCACCTCTCCACCACCCACCCCCCTTCTTGCCCCTGCAACTTCCTTCCAAATGCAGGAGGAAACCGCCCAGCTTACTCACAACGGCCCCAGCCAACAGAGTGCAGATAAGACAAGCACCTTGGCAGCGAGACGCGAATATGAAATTGCAAACAGCTTTTGAAGTTACAGATCCGTAATCTTCTAAGCCAAAGAAGAGGGGTTCGCCTCTTCTCCCCCTCATCTGAATCAACAGTCCAAAGGACTGAACTGAATCCAGCCAGCTTCGGATGTGATCTCACAAGCCCGCCTGCCACACATGCATTTCCAGCCTGTCGCCTGAGCAAAACCCCCACACGGCTTGTCACCACTTAACACAAGGGACATGTTTCTACAGGAATCAAAGTAGAGAGATGGGTTTTGCTGCCCTTTCATGTGCTCAAATACATCCTGACTGACCCGGTTATGCCCTTAGTTGAAGAAACTAAACACTTTCAAGTTCAGAAGGGAAGATGCTCAGGGTTTCTGGAAGACGGGCTGACTCACCTCTACTGCATAGTAGTAGCCTGTAACCTTGGCCAAGTTACTTAATCTCTTTCATCTCAATTTTTCCATCTGTAAAATGGGACTCTACTACCAATGGCACTTTTCTTTAAGGTTCCTGTAATTATTAAAATAGTTGATTTACATAAAAAATGTAGGGCAATGATACACAGTCAACAATAAATATTTACCATCACTGTCATTTTAAAACAAAAACAAAAGATTTGAGGATGTGTCCACATGACCTTTGGAATTTAGATGCATCCCAACAGGTCCCTGTTGTATTTTTGGGTCACAGTAAACAGGTTTTGATAATCAAACCTAAAACTCTGATGTTTCTGTCATTATTATTTTCAATGGAATGATCTGCATAGAATTAATAAATAATTAACAAAAATTACTAAAATTCCTTTCAGAATTAAGTCAGCATGAGATAACACTGCTTGCTGAGATTATACATGCTTCCTTTAAGCTTCTGTATAGGATACATTTCTCCAAATTTTTTACAAAAAAAGCACTATTTTATCATTGGAAAAATTAAAATGATAGTACATAATAAGATGAAGCACATCATGCCTCGTAATGTATAAACACGGATATCTACAGGAAATGGCAATCAAAGCATAAATGAGTCCACTAAGATTGCGTCATGGCTTTCCCTGCTGGCCCAGTCGGACATTTTTTTTGGAAAGTTTTAGAGACCTAAGTCTCCACAGCCAAATGGAAATGAGCCCCAGATATTACTCAGATATTATTGGCAGTACTTTCTGCCCAGAGAAAGGCAAAACAAAGAGTTTTTTTGCAATTGGAGGCCACCACCTGGATTTGTGTATGCATAAGCCTCAGCCACACGAGGCCTGTTTAGGGTTGATCTGCCAACTGCACAAAGACACACACAAACACACACACACACGCACACATGCACACACGCACACAGGCACAGCCCAAACGCTGAGTTTCATTTCCACTGCTTTGTTCCTATGGAGTACTAACAGATATTGGCAGACCCTATTTCACTTTTTTCTCCATGAACTCTGGCCATTTCAGCCTTTTTCTCCCAATTTAAATAGTTAGAAATGTCGCCCAGTCAGGGTACTTTTTCAATGGGTAAAATATTAATTCTTATAAGTCAAAAAATGTTAGTGTCCTACAAGCATGCAGAGCAAAGTTTAAAAACTGATGTTAAAAACCCCACTTTGAAGTACATACTCAAAGATCAGGAGCTGTGGTGAATCTAATCTGTTCTTAGGCTCTATCAGCTGGGTCATTTAGCATGGGACAAAAGTCCAAGGGACCTCATACACTGGCTGATGTTTGGTGGCAAATTCTGAGCTTCTCAGAAGCTGAGAGACATCTTGAGTCAATTCCACAATTGGACACTTCTAATATATTTTTTAAATGTGTTAAAATACTGCTACAAAAATTACAGTATTTTTCATACATTTACGTTTAGCAAATAAGTGTTTTTGTCCCAATAATAATTTTAATAGCCATATGCACACCATCTTTTGGAGCAAGATTTAGAAGTTTAGCTTTGAGGCCCCTTCTTCAATCTGAGGCCCAAGACAAATGGCCCTCTAACCCCACCCCTGTAATGAACCTGAGTAAACTTAAGCAGAGGACAGTGTGAGAACAGCATTACTTCAAATGCTGATCTGAACTCAACTCCATTACCGTCCATCCTGGCTACAGTAGAGGAGGCGGAGATCAAAGGCCAGGATGAGGAACTTCAGATCAAGAGCTACCCAGCACTCATACAACCCCTAAGCTACATTTTCCAGAACCTGGACAGGCATTTGGTGTCCAAACTGAGAAAACTATCCTGAAATAGCTTTCTCCGCTCTTGGAATACCAAGTTGTCAATGGCATTGTTCTGTTCTCCAGCTTCCCCCTAACCCCACACCTAGGTTTTGTAATTTTCACCTATGGGTTCTAAGTTGGTTCTAAGACCTCCAAATTCAAAGACATCAAAGAAAGATATTGTTCTTCAAAGATGATGATGTATAATACTTGTATTTCCAAAGCCCCTTTAGGGTGATCAAAAACAGATAATGATAGCAACCTATGTAAATATATGTCAAGAGGATGTAAATATAATTCCAGGCTTCGGGCCTTATGGGCATTCATTTAATGACTACATGGTACCAGGTCTCCTGAAGCATAGAAGCAGAAAAGCAAACCAAAGGCCTCTGGGATTCTAATTCTTACTAGTAATGAAAGGGAGATGAGGAGAGTGATGCAAGAGCCTTCTGTGAGTGATGTCATGACAACCTCAACATCCCTTCCTCTGTTCAGGGAACATGAAGATGCTCACCTGGCAACTGTCAGTCTCAGGTTCCCACATTCTCCATAATCTGATCTCACAATGCCTAATACATCTTGCATGTGACAAATGTCAACTAACCTACATTAGTGCTTTGAAAATAAGTTAGAGCTTGGATTCAGAAAGCCTTTTAATTCTTTTTTAATTCTTGGTGGGTAAGTTTCCTACTTATAGTCTTCATATATGTTCTTTTTTTTTTTTTTTTTTGAGACAGAGTCTCGCTCTGTCACCAGGCTGGAGTGCAGTGGCACGGTCTCAGCTCACTGCAACCTCCAACTCCCTGGTTCAAGAGATTCTCCTGCCTCAGCCTCTCAAGTAGCTGGGATTACAGCATACACCACCATGCTCAGCTAATTTTTGTATTTTTAGTAGAGACAGGGTTTCACCATGTTGTCCAGGAGGGTCTCGATCTCCTGACCCCATGATCTGCCTGGCTCAGCCTCCCAAAGTGCTGGGATTACAGGCATGAGCCACCATGCCTGGCCGTGTTCAGTTATTTAATAGTTGGGTCTACAGCAAGCTATGTAACAGACATCCAAACATGTCTGTCATGTTGACTCCCCAGTTGTAAGAATATGTTCCCTGTTGTTTCACTTTGTGGTTTCTAGGTTTGAAAAAAAAGTTTCCAAAAAGAGTATCAGAGTAAAGAAAATGCAGAATGATAGATACATGTAATTTAAGAAAGTACGAACATGATTCTCCAAGGAAAAAGGAGGATCTGGCATCAACTGAAGTCTATGTCCACCTAAAAGTAAAAAGCCAAATGGAGTTGTTCATTATAAATATATGTGTCCTTTTGCACAATGAAGAAATGAAATTTGCTCTCCCCACTCTCTCCACTGAGAGAACTGAATACAAATACTATTTTGGGTCAGAAATAAAACAAACCCCACAGCACATTAGAGGAAGCCATCCTCAGCAGAAGAGATGGTCTCCCGAGAATACTGGACCCAGGAAGGTGATGAGCTTTCGCCCCACCCCTCTGCTCAAAAGACAGTTTATTCTTTCCCCCTTGGTAGATATGTACTTCTAAATCTCAGCCACTCACCTAATTTTCTGTCTTGTAAGCAAGTCTTCAAAAGAAGGCTAGGTTACTGAGAGATGGGCACAATCCTTGAAAATTGCAGAAGTAAAGAACATAAGCACTTTATAACATTCTCTTCAGTAGGGAATATTCTGTGTCCCAGCAGTACCAACCTCAGGAGCTCCAAGACATCCACTGTGAAAAAGGCCAAAGGAATGAAGGTACCAACCCAAGATGGGCCTGGTCACTGGCTAAAGAAACTGAACTCCTGGTGAAGGTTCAGGATGGGTCCTCTTTGAGGGCAAAGGGGCACCAGCTCACCTGGGACCCAGTTGAGAGAAGTGGGCAACCCTACTGGCCGCTGGTCTTCCTCTGAACAGATGAGAGGTCACTCCTGTGGAATGGGTTATACCAGTAGGCTCTGGCCACATTGCCTTCCATACACACTACCCTTCCACCCTGTGGCAAGCACCTTTTAAAAGAGCTAAAAGCAATTGAAAAATGTACCAAAGGCATCAAGGTGAATTATCAGACTACTGTTCTCTGATAAAAAACAGTAACAACAGATGATGGCTTTCAAACAAGCTGAGAAAATGAACTTTATTTTTCTAGAAGTTTTTTTAAATTTTTTTCCTAGTCCCAATGCACTTTGTACTTCTCTATTTATCATGCACTTTGTAACTGCCTCAACATATCTTGCCCTTCTATCAACTGATGAACTTCTTGAGAACCCTGCCCTATTCTTCCTATTCATCCTCATATTCACAGAGCCTTCAGTGTAAGAGGAAATTAATAGACTCTCAATAAATGTTTGATGAACAGATAAGTGTAGGAAAACTTAACGTACACCAGAGTGCAACAGGAAATAATATCCAAAATTCTTGAGATAACAATGAAAGACCATCAAAGTAAACCTTTCCCATAGCTAATCGTCCAAACATTAAAAGAGGACTTCATTGTTCTCCAGATGTCATCAGTGATTCATTACAAATAATTACATGCGTGTTCTAAATAATGGAATGTTGAAATGTACACTTGTCATCACTGGCACTGTCAAATATGTTGGACATGCCCAAAATAGCTACAGTTCATGTGACCAGGAAGAGAGTCACATCAAGGACTCCAGAGGTGATAATATCAGTGTCCCAGGAAAGTCTGGAAGTCATTGTCTTGAACAGGAAGACTTAAGGAAGCTGAGGGCAGTTTGTTCACTTGACCCCAGAGTTGGGTTACACACCCACAGCACTTACTGAGGGAGGAAGTTGGAAGAGGACCTGGGGTCAGACCGCTGCAATGGTGTGAAGTAGATGAAATTTGTCTTCACTTCCTCTTTAATTGCCCTCCTCGTCTCCCCAGCAACCCTGATCTGTCATCCTTCGTAATCACAATGGCAGAGGCCCAACTGAGTCACTCATACTATGGTATAAATAACTCATTATGATTGTATAAATTAGGCTTCCAAAGCATTTGCCTTTTTAGTAGAAGCAGTGCTGTTATTCTGTGTAATAGCAGAATTTCTACCATCAAAATAGCAAGGGACATATTTGAGGGATGATGGTCAGTGCCAGCTTGAAGTTGAGTAGGCAGCTTGAAGTTGAGTAGGCAGCTATATACATTTTCTAATTTTTAGAAATTTAAGTCTCAGGCCTTGGATCTCCTGTGACTATGTGACTATTCATGTTAGAAAAATAAACATTTCCACCTCCTAGAGTGGTTGATAGCAAGAGGGTATCAGGCTTCAAAGGTTGATCTGTGATTCTCTAGAGACCTCTAGTGGTCAGAAGAGGAACTCACTTTTGTTATGAACAGAAAGAAAGGGAATGCTGACCGGTGAAAAATGAAGGCCTACAATCTGGTGATAGCCATTAAAGAAATATTTGGAACTTTCAGTAATGGAAGGTTTGAGTCATTTACTTTTCCATCTACTTTTTCTCTCTCTCCTTTCTCTTCTGTATCCATGCTACAATCTCATTTGCCTTAATGCCTTAGAAGGCTCTTGTCCTTAGTGTCCTTATTATCCATTTTCATTGCTTTATCTGGGTCGTCCACACAAAGAAAACAGCTTGCCCTTCACAGGATCCATATTTCCCTCACACAATCCATGGGCTCCTACATCTCCCTTCACTCTTGGCATCTCTTGATCCTGTTACTCATACCTACATGTGCTCCCAAATAAGTACAGGAATAGGTCATCGCTCTCCTTATCTTCACCCTTGCTCTGCCAGGACAGTGTTTCTTTTTCTGCCATTGAGATGGACTGTCCCAAGGGATTACATTTTAAGAGGTGGATTACAGTTACTGCTGGTTTTGTGGTTCACTGTGAAGCTCAGGAAACAGAAACAGCCAAGTTTCCAAGATACATATTTCACAGGAGAAGAGTCAAAAAAAAAGATTTAAAATGCCAAACTTTACAGGAAATTCAAAGACAACCCTTCCCAACAAATAAAAGTCATCCCCACAGATTTGTGGTAGAGGCAATATAAGTGACTATGTTAACCTGAAGCCTTTATAGGTAGACTTTTCAGCTGCTCTCTTGTTTACCTATCCCAATTTTTCTTATACAACTACTAAAATTATATAGATAAATACACCATATATTAAGATATATACTCACCAATGTGTACAAAAAGGGCATTCCTCTAAAATTAGATTGCAGCTCTTCCTGGCTTTGAAGTAATCACACCCCAGCAATAGAAAGAGGTGGAACATATCAACAGGAATGGGGTGTGGACTGCAAGTTCATCATCTATCAATCTTATCTGAGATCCGGCTTTGCCTTAAGGTTCAATTCCAAGACCATGAATAGATGTTTCTGGGTTTTTTTAATCCCCACTGTGGATGAAGCCTTTCTTCCTTTTTCTGAGAGGTCTGAATTTGAGACTCCATGTGGGTCAGGTCAATGATAGGAGCAACAGACCCCAAAGGACCTCCTCAATCTGGATCCACATTTAGACAGTGTCTTCTCAGTTACGGGAGCATAGGATTTCCTATAACCCTATCAATTAATTATTGGTCCAACAAATAAACAGAAACTTAGTTATAAATGGCTAATGAATAGGCAGTTGTGTCCTAGTAGTTTGTGGCCTCAGAGAGTTTTTTAAGCAAAGAGTTAAGGGGAGGAGAAAAAAGGAGCAGGAAACCAACCCTTCCTTTGGTTGGCTCCCTTAGCTCACCTCAACTTGGAAAGAGCAGAGCCAACTGAACAACGCTTGACAATATTTCTGTGGCATTATCAAAATCCAGGGCCATGATCTTGATATAAAAGCAAGCTAGTTTCTCTGACACAAGTATTTGGTTATAACAGGGTGAGGCTCATTATAAAAACCACCCATTTGTTAATCACTAAAACATTGATGGAATGCCTAATATATGAAGGCTATCACGGTGAGTTTGCAAAAATTTTGGTTTTATACATTTTCCAAAACCATAAGAATGTGTTTATGTGTAGAAAATACAAATGTAATGGTATTTGAAGAGCTGATACCATAATCTCTCTTAGGAAAGAAATCTTTCTTTTGGCTACAGTGCTGTGGGAGAAAGTGAGTCCCTGAAGGTCTGAGGGTCATAAGAACAAAACAGTAAGGAGAGGGCTGTGCTGTTCTGCCAGTGCTCCACAGGAAGACATGAGAGGGCTTTGGTGTTGCTCCAGGGTGAAGGAGGAGAAAGAGAGAGAGAAGAGCCAAACAAGTCAGGCGGTGTGAGGATGGGAAGTGTGTACGGCCAGGAAGTCAGGGAAGAATCCACAGTGGTGAGCTGACTGACTTTTGAGAAACAAAGATGATAAAAAATAAGGATTGCTTCAAAAACAGGAACCATAGAGTCAGTAAGGCTCAGATCTCTGCAGCGAAGCCTCCCCTAACTCTCTACCATCCACCCAGTGCCCCTCTCAGTCTGGAGAGTGGCGCCACCTACAGGGTTGTTCCCAGAGACCATTGCTTCGGACTCATTGCTCCAACCCTTTCAGGCCCTGCCAACCCAGCCCATGCCAATTGCTCAAGTCTTTAGAAATGCATAAAAGAAATACGTAATTTGGTAAATTAGTAAATTCTTCTAATTCAGCAAATTGGTCACTCGACAATTGTCAAATTGGTTTTTGGGAAATTGGACAGCTTGTCTCAAAGCTGACAGAGTGTAATCATCTCCAGGCTCTGGCAAGTCAACCCGCCATTCCACTCAGGTCAGTGCTTTATGCTCACTCCTTCCATTCTCCTTCTTTCCCTCAGTAAATGTCAAAGCGCCTGAAATGCAAGAGCCAGCCCTCATTCTCTGACAGAGGGTCAACAGTTTAGACTCAGGCCTGGAGAGATCATCTCTGACAGAAAGCTCATATCTACAGGTTTTCTTTAAACAAAAAGTTAAAAGAAAATGACTAACCAGGGCTACACATAAGAAGAAGTATTCAGTAATGAGAGAGGCTACTATCAACCCAAGAAGATTATGTCAGAAGTAGGGTAGAGTCCAGTGGTTGGAATTCATAACACTTTGAGATAGAAGTGTGTCCCGGGGTACAACTGCAAAGTGGAGTACACGTGGGTCAGTGGAGGGCCTGGCCTCCAGCTCCACCTCTGGTGCTGTGTCCACCAGCGGAGGAGAGAAGAATCAAGCCCATGTACAGCTCCTTTTCTCCCCTGGAATCCTCTCATTGCATCATTCAGCATTTCAGCCTTAGATGCTAGGAAGAGGGCAGTGCTTAGACCCTCTGCCCTTCAGAGAGACCATCTCGTACTCTGTTGCTGAATGGGAGACCACACGGCTCCTCTGGGCGACTCTTCCAGAACAGTCTGGGACTGAGCTCCAGCACAGATCCTGGGTGTGGTTGGTTCACAGGCTTGGACTGCCCAGAGTAGAGCTGGCCAGGAAAAACAGGGCAGAAGGAATGCTGGTGGCGGGGAGGAAGCAGAGAACAGCATCTTCTCTTCTTACCTCATTCAGGGCCCTTATGACTATCTCTCTCCTTCACCAAGAATATAGAGAAAGGTAACAGACACTGAAGAGAGGTTTTACTGCAACAAGCAGGAGAACTTCAGCTGGGACCATTACAATCACACAAAAATCCACAGAGCACATGACACCCCCTTTGGCAGCCCCCACACTGGACCCACCAACATTCTGCATCCTGAGAGCCAGAGACACGTCTGCAGAAATGTGCACCAATAGCAGCATTCAAGTCCCATGCTGGGAAAGAGGACGTAGGTAAGTGTGTATCTCAGACTGTTTCCATCCAGGTGGGAGGCAGACGGATGACCAATGTACCCAATATCACACCTGGGATCCCCCTGCTTGGGGCCATCTGAGCAGCGGAAACAGTTACCTTAAGGCTGGCCTCTGCAGACAGACTGAGAGCTTACAGAAGGATGGCCAGCAACTCTATTCTCAAGCTTAACAAGCAGCTGGGTGTGGTGGCTCATGCCTGTAATCCCAGCACTTTGGGAGGCCAAGTCAGAGGAATCACTAGAGCCCAGGAATTCAAGACCAGCCTGGGAAACATGGAAAAACCCAGTCTCTATAAAAATTTTAAAAATTACCCAGGGCTTGGTGGTGTACCCCTGTAGTCCCAGCTACTGGGGAGGCTGAGGTGGGAGGATCACCTGAGCCCAGGGGTTTGAGGCTGTGGTGAGCCATGATTGCACAACTGCACTCCAGCCTGGGTGACAGAATGAAACCGTGTCACAGAAGAAAAAATAAAAAAAAGAAAGGCAATGTTATCATGAAGAAACAAAGGCCGTCTTTGACCCTCTAAGGACATTTGTTGGGGAGGTAGATTTGTACAACTCAACATATACGAAACTTAAAGCAAAGGCCAGAAGACTAGTGCATGGCTAGTTCTCTCCAGCAACTCTTGGAGAGACACAGCCTATTATTAACAATTCTCCTTCTTGGCTCGGGAGTGGGCCGCAGCACACAGGCAGCAGGATCGGATGCTCAGCATGGAGCTGCCATAGACCCACCGCCTCCTCTGCAGCTGCATGTGTGCTTTTCAGAAACCACCAAATTCAAAACCCCAGACTGCCAAGGTCAAATCTTCCGGGAAAGGCCCATTCAGCCTGTGGTTATTCATGTTTGAGGAGTTTCTCTGAATTTGAGAGGAGGTCTGACATTGCTGACACTGGGCGGGTTGGGGTCAGCCTGACAGGGACAGCAGAAAGAGACCCGTGGTCCTGTGGGATGCTAGCCCGAGCCTGCCAGAAACAGCCTGCTCGACTGTTTCCCAGACCTCAGCTCCTTCCACTGCCTGGGCTCAGATGAGAACAAGACAAGGGAACAGAAATGGTTCAGATTTCATCCTCCAGCCCCTGAGCTACAAAAGCTCTCAGTCACGCAGCTTCCTCCTGGAGTTCACAGCACGGCAGGCCCCAGATGGCATGAATCACCACTCTGTCGCCCTGGCTGGGCCCTGGTGTGGAGCGCCGTGAGAGTTCACACTGTCACCCTTGTTGTGAAGACAGCCCAGCACAGAGTGCTTCTGTCCCAATGGCACATTTAATTTCAAATTAAAGTTATAAAAGCTGAAAGTGACCTCTTCTCCTGGAAACAAAACTGTGGGCTTGAGAGGGAATTTGGCTCCCACAGGGGCCTTGTCTCTGCACTGGAAGAGACTTTTAAATGTCTTTCAACAAAAATCAGGACTTGTCTAGAGGGTTCCCTCTGCCGCCACGCCAGCCCTCAGCGTCTTTGCTGTTCATCAGCGGGTCCCCTGAGGCTCGTTCCACAACCACTCTTGGGAGTTGCACTCTAAAGTGTGTCACACTGTAAAGTGTGACTGGGGCACACTGAGTTCCAGGACCCGGTCACTCCTCACAGAGCCTGAAAGACCAAAACCATAGGAGGACACACAGACAGCTTGAAGGGGACCAGCTGTTCCTCCCAGGGCTGGGCAGGCAGCAGAAAGCGTGGAGGGGAAGGAGCATAGCAGGGCTGGGCAGGCAGCAGAAAGCGTGGAGGGGAAGGAGCATAGCACCGAAGAGAGCTCAGCTCTAACCGCCCTCTCCTCTCGGCCAGACAGGGGCCAGCAGATCCAGGGCGGAGGGGCCAGGCTCCTTCCACAGGAAAGTAAATTCCTATGAGGTCAACAACCAGAGAATCAACCCATGTTTGCTGATCAGCCCTGATGCCCTTCACTGACTTAAGCACCGTGAAGAAAATGGAAGCATGGTCTTCAAAGAAGCAGCATCTACCAGCAACACAGCACAGGGAGGCGGGAGGAGGGAGTGGGGAGGAATTGGACTCCACATCCAGTTGGCCTGGGTTTAAATCCGATTCCACCACTGATTAGCTGGAAATTAGGACAGATTGTTTCTATCATTATTCTCTCATTTGCAAAATAAAGATCACAATAGGGCCAACCTTGTAAGAATTCTGGGAATTAAATGAGTCTATGCACACAAGGTGCTAATGTATATAAATGTCAGCTATCCATTCGAAAACAACAACAAAATATTCACTATAAAGCCAAAATCAATAATATAACAGATGTGAATCTTAGCCCACATTAGCTCACAAATCTAGGTGGGTAAGAAGAACCACTTTTTCTTTTTCTTTTTTTTTTTTTTTTTTGAGACAAAATTTCACTCTTTCACCCAGGCTGGAGTGCAGTGGCATGATCTCGG